TTTTTGGTTGGTGAACTTTTATGGTTGGTGAAGGTTACTTGTTTGGATGCCTATAAAAGGCCACTCCTCCTTCACATTTGAAACACACACAATACAGCATCAGAATATCACATACCACAATCACCACCATAAACTGATTCTCTCCTTTTCTACTTTTATATATATTCTCTACTTTATATTATTATTTTGGCAATGGTTCTGTGACTTGGATACCCATATCCGTCTATGAACGTGCTCATAGCGGATCTTGAGTTTGTGTACAAGGGGTCGTATCTTGGAGTCTTGTAGACCGTCAGTACCTGCACGTAGGGAGGCTACAAAGGCTTTAGGACAGCGTCTTTGACGTGCTTCACCGTACCAAACTCACCTTCTTACTTATTATTTATTTTCCTTTTACTTACCTATTATTTTGTTTTCTTCAATTTCATTATACCTTAAAAGCTTTCCTATTTATTTATATGTTATTTATAATATAATATTTTTTTGTGTTTGGCTTTACGGAAAAGGAAAACTATATTTTGTATATTTTTTTATAACAATTGGTACAGCACATCATGCTTCTTACCATGTCTTTTAAAGTCCTATTTCTTCTCTCAGAAACTCCATTCTGCTGGGGTGTACCTGGATTGGTATACTGAGCTATTATTCCTTCTTCTTGGAGATATCTTGCAAAAGGGCCTGGATTTCTTCCAGCTTCATCAAATCTGTCATAGTATTCTCCACCTCTATCTGATTGTACCACCTTCATTTTCAATTCCAGTTGCCTTTCTACTTCTGTTTTATAAACTTTGAACATATCTAATGCTTCAGACTTTTCTTTCATTAAGTAGACATGTCCAAATCTCGAGTGATCTTCTATGAAAGTGATGAAGTACTTATAACCTTCATGTGTTGGATTTGGAAAAAGACCATAGATATCTGTGTGAATTAATTCCAGCAGATTTACACTTCTTATTGCTCCTTTCTTTCTCAAGTTTGTCAATTTTCCTTTTATGCATTCAACACAGTTTTCATCCATGTCATTAAAGTCAATTGGTGGCAGCACTGATTCTTTACACAGGGAGTTCATTCTTTCTCTTGAAATATGGCCAAGCCTTTATGCCAAAGTTTAGATGATATGGGATTCTTTTGTTTCGTATTTGCAACATTCATAACCACTTGAGGTGTTTTGCAGTTCAATTGAAACATATTTCCAACAAGAAAACCATTCCCAACTACTTCTTTATTATTGAAAATCGAAAATCCAAATTCATCAAAACTTAAAGTAAGTTTTGATTTAACAAGTCTAGCAACTAAAATAAGGTTCCTTGTCATAGAAGGAACATAGACTACATCTACCAAATCTAAAACAAAACCAGAATCTAGTTGAATCCTAACTGCTCTAATGAACTCCACTTGAACTTTGACTTCATTGCCTACGAACACTTTCACCTCATCCTTGTTTGGCGATCTCTTGGTTATGAACCCCTGCAAAGAATTAGCAACATGTATTGAAGCACCACTATCTAACCACCAAGTGTCAGTTGAAACTTTAATCACATTTGATTCAAAACAGACCAACCTTACCTTCATTCTTGCCTTTGGTTTTCTGTTTCTCTAACCACCTCTTGTACCTCTTGCAGTCCCTCTTCATATGTCCAAACTTTCTACAGAAAAAGCACTTTAGTCCAGTCGATTTTCCCTCTTTTGCATTGGTACCTTCTTTGTCTTTCTTTTCTCCAAAACTTGCCTTTTTATCTTTGTTTCTGCTTGCCACGATAATCCTGCACCATGTTCACAGCTTTCTAACCCCTTTCCATGATTATATTGTTCTCTTCTTGAACACTTATTGTTATGAGATCATCTAGTGTCCAACTTTCCTTTTGAGCCACATAAGAACTCTTGAGAGTTTTGAATTCCTTTGGCAGTGAATTTAAAGCAACATGCACCATCATATCGTCATCTATAGTCATGTTTAGTCCCTTTAGCTTGTGTGAAATGTCTGCCATATTCATTTTGTGAGCTCTTACACAACCTCGCCCATCATACTTCATCTCAGTCAATTTGTTCAGCAAAGCACCTTTCTCTCCTTTCTCAGATTCCTTAAACTTCTGACCAATGGCAGCAAGATAATCCTTAGCACTTTCTGATCTTGGAATGCTACCTCTTAAAGAAGGTGTCATGGTTTTCAGCATAATCAGTGTAGCCATCCTGTTGGCTTTTTTCCCATCTTTCATATTTCCTTTTGACATATGCAGTTGCATCTGCAGCAGGTTCCTTGATTACATCCCACTTTAGAGCTATGTCATAGTCCATCAATCCTAACGAAATTTCCAGCTCTTCTTTCCACTTTAGATAGTTTGATCCAGTCAAGATTTCGATGGAGTTGTAACTTGAAGCACTCACTGTAATTTAAAGAAAATATAAATATAAATATCCCCAGAATCTTTAACTAAACATTATTGTCTTGCACCTGTAGGTTACAAGTTAAACATGTACCAAAGTACTTAGAAAAACAGATCTTGTATGAGCAGTCTTGAAACGAGAAACAACTCCACATCTGTAGACAGAAGAGTGTTCCTTGTTTGCTCACACAACCTGTTTTCTAAACTTCTCCATTACATCCATCCTCCTATGCACGATTCACGTCTGTGGACAGAGAATTGTACATGAGAGTTTGAGTGTAATGCAATTTTGATCAAAACTTTGAATGAAAATTCTCCTGTACCAATTGAGTTGTGGCTCAGTCAATTGATCCAAGATCCTCTCCAAACATTGACCATTAGTCTTTCAAGCATGATTTAAGCAAAAAACTTTATGCTTATCTCATACCTTAACAAATAAGATATGCAAAGTGTGATATTCGAAATATACATGCTATAATGACCAATGTTTTCTTTAAACTATGTCATGCTTGCATAAAAACCATATTTTAATTCTTTTATGCAAGTTGTGTCATGTTTTATTTGTGATTAGGTTAAGAACATATAACCTATAGCTCTGATACCACATGTAAGTCTTTATTAGATTATATGAACCAAACACACACACACACACACCTTGATCAGACATGACGTGTTTGCTGATGGTTGATCTGCGTCTGGTTTTGTTTGGCAGTTGTTGGACAGGCTTTCGACTGGCATTCGGCAGATGCCCAGCAGGTGTTCAACAGAATTACTCAACCAGGAAATCTTCTCTGCTACTTGGCACCTTAACTCTCTCTTGATGGGTTGAGTATTTAATTGAGTATTTGCCGATAGCACAGGGACTTCCTTTTATTGGCTGAGCTTAAGAATCCTCCTCATCAAAGACTTCTTAAGCTCTCCTTAAGCCATCATGATTTAGCCGTTCCAATCCACATGTAATTAGGAAACCTTTAGCACTTAGTATTGAACTAAAATAATCACTTATACTTAGTCTAAAAGTCTGATCATATATGTACTCCTAATTGACATAGAACTAGTTAACCGTATATGATTAGAAGACCATCTCAGTATTTGCTTTTAGAATGAAAACCTTACAAACCTCACCAGAACATGACTGGAGCTAAAACAAAGAGTCCTAGTAGTTGGAAGATTCTTCATCCAAATTCAACTTGGCTACGAGGTTCGAGTTTGAGCGAATTATGTTAGCATTCAAAGGGCGAGCACTTATGGCTAAGAATGAAATAGTCAAGGCTAGATGAGCTATGAGAAGGAAGAGCTTGAAAGTTGTGTAAGCTGCCATTTTGATTTTGATTGTGGATGAGTAAGGGATTGATACGAATGAAGGGTTTTAAACAGATGGTGAGGTGATTGTGTTATAAAATGAAAAAAAAAAAAAAAATGTTACGTCCATTGGGTGGTGAAGAGGCTGCTGAGAGTAACTCATAATGACAATGATCATGTGTTACTTAACGGCAAGAGAAGTTTATGGGACTCAACTCATCAACTGATGATGCATATAACAAAATTTGTGGGAATTAAAGTAAGTAAGCGTAATTCCCAACTCATGATATATCAGACGAATTAATGGATAATTTATGGTCTTTGTGATGGTTGATTTGCTTAGTGTTGGTTTTGTTTGCTGATGTTCAAAAGGATCGACCATTCGTTTGCTTACCGAAAGTTGGTTAGTGTATTCACTGTTCGTGCTCATTCCAAAAGATTGATTGAGATCCATAATTGGATGATTAAATTTATGTTTGCTTTACATTTTAATTTCAAATTTGTTCTCAAATTGACAAAGGAAATTTCAACCTATTGTAATGTACGGTACGGGAGGGGGTTTGAACTCAGGTTAAGGGAAGACACATATACTTGTTTGCTGAAGGTAACTACTTAATGATTTGCAGTACGTTAACAGATACTTTGCTCAAATGCTATATAATATGCAGCAACATGACAAATGTACATGAGAGAGAGAGAGAGAGAGAGCAGAGGAATTATATCATCAAATATATGAATCTAATGATAAATGTATGGCTGGAAAAGGAAAATGGCATAGTCCAGAGGCTAGAAGAGCTTGAAAGTTGTGTAAGCTGCCATTTTGATTTTCATTATTGTGGATGAGTAAGAGATTGATACGAATGAAAGGTTTTATATAGATGGTGAGGTGATTGTGTTATAAAATAAAAATTAAAAAATGTTACGTGCATTGGGTGGTGAAGAGGCTGCTGAGGAGGAGTTTTTAATGAAGTTAGCAAAAATTTAGCTCCTCTTTTAAGAATAACAGTTTTTATTAAACTTTTCAACAATAGCAAAAAATAAGAGGGGGCAAGGCCTAAGTAGAAAATCAAAGTGGCTACCCTCCAATAGGGGTGGCAATTTCCGACTCGACCCATTACACGACTCAAAACCCGCACGGGAAAAACACGACCCGAACACGCACGATTAATAAACGGGTAATTTTTGGTCAACCCGCCACTGACCCGTTTATAAACGGGTGGGTTTGGGGTCAACCAGCCAACCCGATTAAATACCTGTTTAACCCGTTTATTAAACGGGTCGTGTCATGGGTTGTGTCAACCCGTTTACTACCTGCCAACCTGCGAAAAAAATTAAAGAAATTGAACCTTCAGCACACCCAATGGGTTTCGAACCCCAGCCAATTCCACCCCTCTCCTTGCACCTTATTCATCTTGGTGTTGATAACTTTGTGATTATGTGTTACAACATTTGATATTTATAATGTCTTTACAAACTGATGAGTACTTAATTATTACATTTTTATCCCTAAATTATATTTGTTAGTAATTGTTCCTTATTATTTGAGTTAATTATGGATCTAAGGTTCCTATGGACCCGCTGCTGTAGTTCAAGAATGAAGCGCGCCAACCAAATGGAGCAACATAAGGCCAAAAGAATGAAGCACATAGTACGTCAAATCCGAAAAAATGAAAGTAGCAACTCACATTGAATTGAAATGCAGCAGCTGTGATGCCTCTTGCCTTGAAAGTGAGGAATCATAGGTCAGTCCCAAAAACATCCATCTTCTTTCTTTTTCTGCGCCGAGCTTCGTCAACAACATCATTTAATTCATCTTGGTCTGCCTCTTCGGAAAGAGCATAGGTATTGCAGAAGAGAGATTTTTGGTGAGAGCTACCACTTCCACTAGGACCAGCCTCCTCGTCATCGTGGCGTTGTTGACCTTGTGCATCAGCTGATTTGGTAGAACAAGTAGTAGTGCTCTTGATGATGGATTTGTTCATCATGATCTGGTTGAGTTGTTCCACATCTTGCTCGTGCACCAAACGAAACCCAAATTTCATCTGAGACGTGCCAGATTTTTCGTATATCCGCCGTATTCGGTCATAACAATAATAATCAGTTGTTAACAAAACCTTTATCTGACCGCATTTTGTGTCAAATTGTACCTGAGGTACATAAATTACCCAAAGGTGAGGTGACACAACTTCGCCTTTTTTAAAATATTTTGAAAATACTCCATAAAGCAATTCTTGTGCGGAACAGCTAATTTCAAAATAATGAAAATCAGAAAGATCAGCCTGAACTTCAAACACAGCACATAAAGCAATTCCCATCCACGTGGTACATGAATCTGGAGGTAGCTCCACAGTTAGGGAATCTCCCAAACTTTGACTACTGAACCACTCTGGAATTTTCCTTCCAGGAGTTAAAATTTCGAAAGCAGGCCTAGGGATTAGCTGTACCATATACATAGATATATATGAGGTTAGTAAGTTGTAAATATTATTATAGCAAACAACAAAAGAGAGAGAGAGAGAGAGAGAGAACCTGAAGCTGAAGGTATCGCTGTAGCATTTTCAGTATTATACTATCGCAGCCTTCATTGTCAACCAATACAAAGCAATTGGCACAATCAAACCCACCAAAATATATTTCGTTGTTTATATCCACTGATGAGCAATTTGACGAAAGATGTGGTAACATTTTTAAGGAAGTGCAACCGGCTATGTCTATATCCGCTAATGAGATAAGCTTAGAAAGATCTGGCAATTGTTCAAGCCTTTGGCACCCATTCACCCAAAATAACTCAAGTTTAGAAAGACATCCAATGCTTGCAGGAAGGCTAACAAAATTGTTTCCAATAAGCTTTAGTGCGGATAAAGAGGACAAGCAGCCAATATCACTGGGAAGATCCCCTTCACAAAGTCCACGATTACTCAGATTCAAATTCTTCAAAGAGAATAAACCACCAAGTGAAGCCAACACAAAAGCCTTTCTTCCATTGAAGCGGGGGAGGCCCCACCAAAACCTTGATTGATTAGGCTGTGATCCACTTCTTCCACCCAAAGATAGATCCTTCAGTTTTTTCAAACCAACAATGGAGCGTGGCAACTGTCTTATAGCAGTTCCATTCAGTAGAAGCGTATGTAAACACTCCATCTCCCCCATGTTCTCTGGGAGTTTGTCAATTTTTGAGCATCCATTCACATGGAGTGCACCAAGTGACTTCAAATTACAAATTTCACTCGGAAGACCCTCGAGATTTTTGCAATCCAATAGAAGCAGAGTAGTAAGGCCAACCAGACATCCTATTGATGAAGGTAATTTCTCAATGGACGTCGCCTGTAAATCAAGCATTGACAAATTTTTCATTTGCCCTGAAAATTCTGGAATCTTTTTCAATTTTGGGCAAAAACCAAGATCCAAGTTTATAAGACATTTGAGATCTGCAATTGACGGGTGAATCTCAACCAAATTATCACAAAGTTGAAAATTCAACACCTCAAGATTCGGCATGCCACTGAAATCTGAGGTTGTGGTCAAGTTTTCAGAGCCACAAAGGTTCATTTTTTTCAAGTTGGGCAAGTACTGTACAATTCATAACAATGGTATAATAGATAATTAGCTCAGATTTATTTTATTTTCAAAAACAAAATATTTATTAATAAATAAATAAAACTAATTTCTAGAATGGCATATGGTCACTACTCTTACCTTTCTTCCATCCCAAAGCCGAACAAGTTTGTTGCCAGGCATCTCAAGTGCAATAAGGTATTTCGGCTGAAAACCTGATGGGAGAAATTTGGAAGGATACCAACTCCATTTGACACTTCTCAAGGAATTAGTAAGAATTCTGGGGCTTGAAGAAATCATTATATTATGAAATTCAAGAAATTTCAGGTTAAGCATCTTAGAGAAGGCTTCACAATTCCAATTTGCCTTTTCAGGTGTCGCCATGTGTAATATGATGCCTTTAATTTTGTCAGTTGCCTGTAATTAAGAATAGCAAAAGAAAAGTTAATTCCACATTTAAGTCTAATAATTGTGAGAATGTGAAGGTAAAAAGTCACACATTGGAAAGTTAGGAAACCTAGCAAGGGCTTATAAGGAGTTGGGCTACTCCCCCCATTGCCAATGGTTTTGGGGTGGAACCTCAACTTCCTTCATGGTATCAGAGCGGGTTGCCCACATGTGAAAGCCCAACGGCCACACGTGCTCCACATCACCCAAAATGTGTTGTCCACGTGATAGGCTTAAAAATTCGCCACACGTGCGGGGGCATGTGAGAATGTGAAGGTAAAAAGTCCCACATTGGAAAGTTAGGAAACCTAGCAAGGCTTATAAGGAGTTGAGCTACTCCCCCCATTGCCAATTGGTTTTGGGGTGGAACCTCAACTTCCTTCAATAATGTGTTAAACAGAAATCATATATCTTCCAAAACTATCTTTATATAACTTCTTAACATGTTGTTGATGAATACATCAAAGATATCATTAATTAAGTCTAATACAGTGTTAAAGACAAATGATAAATCTTCCAAAACTTAGTATCTTTTATATAACTTCTTACCGTATTGTTTATGAATACATGAGAGATATCATCATGATTGCACAATCGACTTCGTCTACCAGGCTCGTCAGGACACTCTCGACGAACAATTTCCAATGCCATTTCTTGTATCAAATCATGCATCTCAACATTCCTATTTGATATAATTAAGAGTGATTTCTGAATGAGATCATTTATCCCAACACAACCACATAGGCCACAACTGTCTAGTATTTCAATTACATGCTCCTTGTCCTTCCCCTTATGAAAAAATGCAACATCAAGAAATATATCCTTGTTCATCTCATCCAGTCCATCGTAACTTGTTTTGAGCAAATCAATAATTTCTGACTTAGGAATTTTCCGCAGCTTATCCAATTCACTTTTCCATACATCTGGATCTCTCTTATACACTAAGCATCCCAAAAGTTTAAGAGCTAGTGGAAGGCCTCTGGCATAATTTACAAAACCCTTGGACAATTCCAAGAAACCTTCCACAGGCTCATTTTTTTTAAAGGCATTCCGACTAAAGAGCTCAAGAGCATCATCATCACTTAATCCCTCTACCTTATATGATACCTGCATGTCATGCTTAACTAGCAACCGTTCATCTCTAGTTGTAATTATGATTATACTCCCCTTACCAAACCAATCCTTTTCACCAGCCAACTTTTCAAGTTGACTTGATTCACTCACATCGTCAAGAATGAGAAGAACCTTTTTATTAGATAAGCAATTCTTAATGAAATAGGTCCCCCACTGTTCATCCCAGACCTGAGTAATTTGTTCCTTCAAGATCGGGAAAAGAAGCTGTCTTTGTAGATTAACAAGATTCCCATGTTCAGAAACCTCTCTAACATTAGCAAGGAAGCAGCTAACTTCAAAATTAATAGAAATGCCCTCATAAACTAGCTTAGCAATGGTCGTCTTGCCAATGCCGCCCATCCCCCATATCCCTATAAAGCGAACATCATCCGTAGGAGCTAATAGCCAATCTATGTGCTCAAGTGTAAACTTAATTCCCACTAACTCTGTGGAATCCAACAATTTGAATGTGCGATGCATTTTACTCCACACCCATTCAACAATCTTTTCAATAAGCTTTCTTTCACACCTACAAGGAAGAAAAGTAAAACGATGATTAAGTTAAAAATATAAGCCATGGGTTTTGTTAAGACATATGGAGAAGGTGTTTATTCATGCTTACTCATTCTTTGAATCAAACCCAGATAAATTGGCCACTTCAGTTAAGGCATCTCTCCAGCTCTTCAACCTTTCCTCATGCTCAGCAAATGCGCACGCAAAACTACCGGTTTGTTTTCGTACGTCAGAAGGATCCACATGATAAAACACTGGTAGAACGGTGCTCTTGGATTTCATGCATTGGAGAATCTTTGTAAGTTCATCCAAGCACCAGGAAGAAGACGCATAATTTGGCGAGAGAACAACGATTGCAAGCCTTGATTCTTCGATTGCGTTGAAGAGCCCTGAACGAATACGTGTCCCTCTTTCAAGCTTAGGATCGTCCTTGAATGTTTTAATGCCCCTGAGCTGCAATTCGTGGTATAAATGGGATACAAAGCTAAGTCGAGTGTCCTCACCACTGAAACTCAAAAACACATCGCGGTTCGGTTGAGGAGCAGACTGATGAGGTGAAGGAAGAAAGGCAGAGTCTCTTTGGGTGCTCAATGCCATTTGGCAATCTGCTGCTGCTGTAAACACTCAATGAAAATAAGCCTTTCGCTAATTAAATTTTCAAAAATCCAAACACTCAACTAATAAATAGAAAGATGATGATAAATGGCTTGCAAAAAGAAAAGGATTAAAATTTAAACCAGAGGAAAACAGAGGAATTCAACATATAAACATTAGAAGGAACAAAAATACGAATTTCAACATTTAAAACAAAAATATAAACCTCAAGACTACACAAGTCAACGTTACCTGAACAAAACAGAGATGGAAATGTAGTCGAAGCAAGCCAACAAGTTTACCTCAACACCGAAAAAATTACAGAGCCAAAGAATTTGTAAGACAACAACCACACGACCGGCAAACCAACCAGAAACTCACAATAAATACAACTTCTCAAGATCAGCCAAAAAACCAGCAACAAAAGCAAACCTAACAGTCAGAGAGAGAGAGAGAGAGAGAATTGCAAAACTGTTTATATGCAAAAAAAAAGTAATAAAATAATAAATTGTCAAGAAGAAAAAAAAAATTGTTTATATGCAATTCCAAACCAATTTCCGCACACAAAAAGACAAAATAGAGGAAAAGAAAATGAAGCAGCATGGAAGAATACCAAAGGAAGACTTGAAGGCGCCAACCATGAGATGTGGTGTGGTGGTAGCTCACCTCATTCCTTAATCATGAGGTTGGGGGTTCGATCCCCGCCCATGGGAATGGAGCGCATTTTGTGGCCAGCCTTTTACCTCCATTGGGAGAGCTCCCGCGGCGAAAGGGATTAGTCACTACTGTCGGTGGTGTATACCCTTGGGTCTCACCTATGAAAAAAAATTGAAGGCGCCCGCACACAAAGTTTGAGAAAAGGACCACTTTGGTTCGCAAGTCGCAGGCTTTATTGATATTATAAAAAGCCCACATCACTGTGATCTGCTCTCATGTTTTATTGATATTTAGCAACGTCTAATTAATGTCATTGCCTAATCTCACTTTTGCACTCTGTTATCACTCAAATCAATTTCACATCATTTTGGCCTTCAATTTCATAAAATTAATTTGGCCTTCAATTTCATAAAAGTCAATTTTTTTAAAAAAAACTTACAAATATAGCTGAAACTTTACTTGAATAGACTCGAATATCCTCAAAATAAACTTACAAATAAATTTGAAAAATATGGTTTTTTATAAAAACAATTCAAAAAATTCAGGATGATTTAACTAAAGACCTTTGCATCAGAACAATTCAAAATGGCAAAACAATTTAATTTCATATACTATACCTCAAGTAAGAGGTGTTCATTGCTGCCTCTACAAGTGACATTTCTAGAAGAGTGTCCAACTTTAAGATATTTATTATTAGAAGAAAATTTTAGAAATGTCACTTGTATTTATATATTAATTTCATTTTGTCACTCAAAGAAAATTTTGAAGAGAGATGTTATTTTGATTTATCAAAATTTCTAAGTTAGAATATGTGGCATGTACAACACACGTGACAAATTTTAACAAAATTCTGAATAGAGTTACAGTGCCATACGGTAAATTAAGCATTTTGAAAAATTGAGATGTGATTTCTCTTAAATTAAGCATTTTGAAAAATTGAGACGTGACATTTATAAAGTTTTCCCTTTCCTTAAAAATTCAAACCACTTTTAACCTAAGGTTATATTTGAGCATGCGACAGGAGAGAGTGAAGAGCCGAGGAAAAGAAGTTTGGCACCAGCACACTTATAAATACCCACCACCATGCATCCAAATGCCTCACACCATCAACCTCTTCTCATATTAATCTTGCTCTCCATCGTCCCATTTATGATAGAATACCCAAAATACCCCGCCATGTATGAAGAGAAGCAACACCAAAGACTCTTCCACCACCACAAGGATGAAGACAGACCCATTGAAACCTCAGACTACCCTCAGTCTGGTGGTTACTCTGATGAAGGACCTCCCGGCAGGGGCTATGGAGAGAGCGTTGATTACTCCGATGATGGACCCCGCGGCAGCCGCTACAGCGAGACCGCTTAATATGGCACCATTGCCACCCATGAATCTGAAATTGACTACAAGGAGGAGAAGCACCACAAGCATCTTGAGCACCTAGGCGAGGCCGGGGTTGTTGCTGCTGGTGTTTTTGCCCTGGTATGGATTTAACCACCTTTTATATATTAATCTCTAATTTTGTTCATGATTTTAGTTATATATTAACCTTAAATGTGAAGGATCACAGCCAGAAATTCTTACATTTTCAAGGCTCATCTGTAAATCTTTAGTAGGTTTATATACTCAAAACACATACCTTGATCCGACATTGTGACAATTACTGCAACTGGAACTTTGATTTCTTCTCAACAAGGAAACTGGAATTCTGTAGCAGAGTTCTTGACTGGTACATCGGTTTAGGCGGATTTGCAGTAGGGTAGTTTCTCTATGCTATACGGCTCTTGAATCTCTTTTCTTGATGGGGTAGAATGTTATGAGAATGTGATGTAGCCGTTAGCATAGGGACCTCCCTTTTATAGGTATAGTTTAAGAATCCAAATTATCACGGATTACTTAAACTCCTTTAACCAAAAGGATTAGGTATCTCAATCCATATAGAGTTAGGAAACCTTAAGCACTTGTATTTATCTAAAACAGTCATATATCAAGTCTTAAAATAAATCGATCCATGTAATCCTAATTGACATTGAACTAGTTATCCTTAAGTGATTAGAAGACCATCTTAGAGTTTGTTTTAGAATGAAAATCTTACATTCTCCCACTTCGTCAAATAATCACTAAAGAACAATGTCAATTACTGTAAGGCCTTGTGGAATACAGTTCGATTTTGTTTCCTCATCAAGCCACTTGTCAACAATGAAAATGATAATGAGTTATCAAGATTGAACAAAGAAACTTCCATGAAGTCTTTACAACTACAGTTATCAAATCCAATGTCACATAGGGCTGCCATCAAGATTGAAATCATAGAACAATCATAGCTAACCAAATTGACATAACTACTATGATCATTCTTTTAGTCCAACTTATAGGATTGTTCAAGATCCTTTCTTTTACTCCAGGTAAAAGACATCACTGTTATGAATGCAATACTTTAACAGTTAACCTTAAGCTAGCAACAAATCATTCACTGTTAATTGCATTCAAATAACAAAACAATTTATGCAGAACAAATTAACCAAACAAAAAAAAAAACCAAAACAACATCAAAATCAATACTTTCAACTCTTTAAATGCGTTTTTCGAAGGCTAAACGACCTCAGATGGCCAAAACATTTGTGGCGTCATTCCCTTTTTGGAAAGGTACCATGCCCCTCAATCGGAGCTCGGACGACAAATCTGCAAATTCCTGCTATGTCCTTTTCCCTTGAAAACTAACAAGCTGCTCCCACTGTTTTTAAGCATCAAAACCGGATAATACCCCCATACTAGTTACATGCCTCTTGAAAACATTATTTGGTAGCCCTTTATTGAATGGATCTGCTAGATTAGACTTTGTATTAATATGATCCATAGCAATGCTTCCTTCACTGATCTTCTCTTTTACTGATAAGAACTTTAGCAATAAAGGCTTCCCTCCAATTGACCTTTTGTTCCCTTTTGCAAACAATATAGCTGAGTTATTATCATTCCAAAGCGTTAAATGATCTGCACGACTTGACAAGGTGAAGCGACGCCTTGGGCAATAATGACCTGCACGACGTGCCCCAAAGCGTTAAATGCGCCGACTGACTAACGCATTTGGTGCCCCAGCTGTCAGTCACTTCAGAAAGGAATGCAAAGGGTCCATCCCTTGGAATCCATTCGACCCCTACCCATGCCGAGGCCGAAGAATCCAGGGATGTGGGGGCAATGTTTGTGCCTGATAAATCACGGCCATGAGCAGGCCGAAGGAGCCCTTTATCTCGGCCCTGGCACTTGTTTGCAGAGGCTGAAACGCAGCGTTTCGCCAGGGTACTTCGCCTTCTTAAAAATAAAAGAAGGAAATGCTAAGGCACGATCACCTCGGCCTCAAGCATAGACCGAGGCCGAGGCCGAACAAATTTGCGGTCAAGGCATTAAAGGCAAATCATCACGTGACAGCAGGGTCCCAGGCTTCATTTAATGAAGTAGTGCCTGTTTAATGCAGCAAAACCCATTGGCCACAAAGTAGCATTTAATGCATGAGGGAAGGTGGGAAGTGACTGAAGCAGGATTTGGTGATGAAGATCAGAGTGATTAGACGTGGACATTCTAACAAGGATTCTGACAGCTTGAGATGTTGTTTTACCAGCTATCCAGGCAATAAATGCGTCTCCACGGCCAGAGGTTCAAAACCCACGATTGAGCGCGGCGGCCGAGATTCACCAGGATTTCTGGGGTCTCATCACCATACTCAGGCAATAAATACGTCTCCACGGCCAGAGGTTCAAAACCCACGATTGA